TCTCGACGGGGCGAGACAGCGTCAGGACGCTGACCGAGCAGTCGAGCTTGTCGGCTCCCTGGGGTCGCGCTGCCTCGCCCGTGGGGCCTCCAAGCTCCCGCGGGAAGCTCAGAGCCTCGCCCTGCGAGAGCAGCGCCTCTGCGACGAGCTTCCACAAAGGACCTCGAAGCCAAGAGTCTCGCGAGGCCGAGCAAGCTGAAAAGGATGTCATGTGCGTTGATATGTTCATCATGTTTCCCGTTATCCCCCCCAATTCTTCCGCCCCCCGCCCTCGCCCTCCCGCCCCGAGCGCGCCCATCCGGGGGCCTCTTTATCGCCGCAAGCGGGCCGCCATGGGCCCCCCGCGCATGTGCCACTGAAAGCCAGTAATAAGACTCGAAGTTCACACATCAAAAAACGCAAGGTCCCGAAGATATTTGTTTTTGAAAAGTGGTGCCGGCGCCCCCCCCATCCGCCCCCCTCCTCCTACCCGCGCCTCCCCCCCCCCGCCCCGAGGAGCGACGAGCGGCTGCGGCCGCGCGCCGAGATCTGGCGAGCACCCTGGGCAAGGCGCCGGGCCCGCCGGACTCCGGGCAAGGCGTCGAGCGAGACTCGGGCCTTGGCGGCAGACCAGAGGGGGGGGCACCGCGCGCTGCAAGGGGGCGCGCGAGCCGCGAGCTGCCCCCGCACTGCGACGAGACGCACTAGCGCAGTCCAAGCTCCAGGTCGCCCCCGGCTGGAGCTCGCGCGCCGGCGAGCACGGCGTCGAGAAGCCCCCCCCCTTGCCCAGCGCCGAGAAGACCACGCGGCACGAGAAGTGTCGCTGGAACTGCGAGACGGTCACGAGATGGCACGGGCTTCGGGCGGCTCTCGAGAAGATGGTGGCCGCGGCGAGGCCCGGCCAGAACGGCCTCCGATAGCGCGGGGGCGAGGGCGCCAGTCTCTCCTGCAACGCGCCGGGGCTGGCCACCCCCGAGCGCCCGCCCGAGAGCGCCCCGCGCCGCGTGAAGCGCTGGCTCAGGCGGGGGCGCGAGCGCGGCCGCGAGATCAGGAGGCGCGCGACCCTGACGCGGGCGCGCTGCGAGCCGGGGTTCGAGCAGGACAAGCAGCCCCACCTGAGACAGGCCAGGGGCAAGAGCTACAGCGCCGAAGCCCACGAGGGTTGTCAAGTGCCTGAAGACCTTTCAGATCAACCACCAGCGCAGGAAGGCCCAGACACCAGACGAAGGCCACGCAGACCAGGGCCACGGCTGGCAGGTTCCTGCGCCCCGCGGCGAAGGGCGGCCTCGAGGACCTCAATCTCTTCGCCGGGGGGGCCGAGACCTTCGCCAGAGAGAGAGAGAGAGAGAGAGAGAAACAAAACAAAGAAAGAAAACGAGAGAGAGAGAGAGTAAGAGAGAGAGAGAGAGAAAACAAAAAAACAACAACAAAAACAACGAGACATACAAAGAGAGAGAGAGAGAGAGATCATATATATATATATATAGAGAGAGAGAGATATATATATATATATAAAAAAAAATAAAAAAAAAAACAAAAACAAAAAAAAAAAAAAAAAAACAAAAACGACAAACAGCACTTAATGAATACATATCGAGAGAAAAGAAGAAAGAGAGAGAGTGAGAGAGAGTGAGAAGAGAGAAAGAGAGAGAGAGAGAGAGAGAGAGAGAGAGAGAGAGAGGAAGAGAAAGAGAGGGAGAGAGAGAGAGAGAGAGAGAGAGAGAGAGAGAGAGAGCGAGAGAGAGAGAAAGAGAGAGAGAGACAGAGAGATATCCACGCCGCAGGCGCAAAGGAGTGCATCCAGAACCTCCGCCGCAAGCGCCGCGAGACGCAGCGGGTTGCCAGACCTACTCGAGCGCAGGGGGCACGTGCAGGTCCACCCTCATCATCATCTCCGCCGTCGAGGGCTGGTTCGACCCGAGCAGGGGGCCCGAGCCGGGAAGCGCAGCGCGCCCCTCGCCCCCTGCGCCCAGCACCTCCGAGTGAGCGACATGAACCTCGGGGGGGGACCTGGCGGCGAGACGTCACCCGCGAGCGGGGCGACGGAAAGACGGAGCATTTCCGAGCAGGCGAGCTGGCAGGCGCATTGTTCATGGGCTTCGCAACCATCGACGCGCGGGGGCAGCCGAGGGCCTGGGCGGACGAGATTATCGCGAGCTGGGCCATCGACCTCGTCTTGCAGCAACACGGCCAGAGCCTCCTGTTCGCCGGCTGCCTGTCGAGCCAGTGGGCCGAGCCGTCGCGCTCCGAGCGCGGCTCTCGAAACGAGCTTGCGGGGGCCAGGCGCCCGCGCGCGCGGCCTGCTCAAGGCGGCGATCATCAGGGCATCGAGACTGGATCAAGAACGTGAAGGCCGAGTCCGAGAAGAAGTTCAGGTGCCCGACCCACTGGTGGCCCTACGAGCGACTCCGCTGCGCCCCCGAGGCATGCACTTGCTTCCGCGGCCAGCGCAAGGAGGCGGCGTCTCTCCAAGGGCTGCATGGATCCTGATGCCCGTCGCGGGCCTGGAGTCCCGGAGGTGCTCCGTCCAGCCCGTCCGCGGCATCGAGCCGAGGATGGCGAGCGTGCGCCTGGGGTGCATCTAGCGCTGGCGCGAGAACGTGCCGCGGGCCCCCGACTGGAACGCCCTCGACGGCGACTGCTACCGCCTCGAGGACGTGACGATGGACTGCGAGGAGGGCGAGAACCCCTTCCACCTGGAGCTCCGAGACCTGGACCTCGAGCTCACCGACGAGCAGAGGAACGTGCTCAGGCCGCCCGAGGACAGGATTAAAGTGATCCAGTTCGCGCGCGTCCGCGCAGGAATGCACGCGTTTACGTGGGCGGCCAAGTTCTCGGGCCAGCTCCTGGCAAGCTGCGGCGCAAGTGGCAGCGCGGGAAGGCTGGGGCTGGCGGCGAGGCCATGCTCGAGCACCTGGGCCCGGGCACGGCCAAGGCGAAGCTCCCTGGCAGGGCCCCGAAGGCTAAGGCGAGCGTCTCCCAGAAGCTACAGGCCAGGGCGGTCGTCGCCGCCGTCGTCAACCATCATGCACAATCGTAACATCGGGTGCCTGGCCCCGCATGGTAGAGGTTCGTGGGGTGACTGGGAGGGCTCTCTCGGAACGGGAGACGCGATGGGATGTTTGTGGCATGTCTCATTTCGTCCCCATCTATTTGAATGATGGCCCTTTGGGTCAGTATCCCTCATGTTTATTGGTGCTGGTGGCGTGTTAGTGCAGATCTGAGCAGGGCCGCGTCCGCCGCGATCCTATCCTCGGCGCAGCCAGTAAGAGAGGGGCGCCCGCCGTTCGATCGGGGCTGGCGGGAGGTGGCGAGTTTTTCGGGTTCCCGCAGTGCCGCCATTAAGTCGCCCATCTGTCCCCAATCGTGGTGGCGACGACACCTGGCAGTGAGTGTCGGGCGATTTGGTGTCACCACATGATTTGAGGATTCGCATGAGGATCCAAATCGTAGTTTCTTAGGATGCGCTTGCGCGAATGTGAGCGCGCGGGCAAGTAACGCGTGCGCGCGCTTGGCGCAGCCTGGGAAATCCAACGTGGAGCCCCCCGGGGGCGCGGGGCGCCGGCGACGCCTCCGCCCTCCTCCCGCGCGCCCGACCCCCCCCGCAAGCCGACTCCTCCTATCTCGAGGATCTCCCAAATTCTGGCGGGTCCAGGAGGAACAAAGCCCGGTGGTGACCCCGTGTTCCCAAACCCGGCGGTGACGTTTTGGGGATTCCAGGTCACCGCCACTACCTGGCTTGGGGGCTCCCAACCCATGCAGCGGGAACGCGGGGTTGCGATCCAGGGGCAGCGTCGGTCCAGTTTTTCGTGGCCGACGCGCGCACCTACAAGGGATCGCGAATCGCGAAGACCTCGATCCGCGCGTGTTGCGCTCGCCCACCCCCCCCCGTCTCTCCCTGTCCCTTCCGTTTTTCTGTGCTCACCCTCGGGGGGCGACAGGCGACAAGATGATCGCGTCTCTCGCGGGTCTAGTGACACCGCGAGCACAAAGAGAAGCCGGCCAAAAAGGGAAGCCGCTGGAGCAACAATTCTGCGTCACTGCTGACGAACAAGTGTCTTGTCTGCCGCGGCTGGCTCTTCTTCACGCCCGGATCACGGGCTGCCTCCGGAAGGGGCTCGTGCTTCCGCAGGCGCCACCCGTAATCGGTCCGGGCCCCGATTCAGCCCTGCTATTCTTGGCATCGTTCGGACGTGTGCATGTTGTCTCGGCGAGTACCATCGAGGATCCTTGTGGGCCACCTTGCGAACACAAACACGCACGAAATCAACAGACGCATGGAGAATGGACCTCCGAGCGATGGCGAGTACTCCTCCTCCTGCCGGAAGGCGGTGCAGCACAGGGCCCAGCTTGTTCCTGCGAGGCGAGTGATCCAGAGTGTCGGGCGACGAAATCTATACATATCCACTGCTCCCTCACCATGCCCATCTTGAACCCAGGAGCTGTGTATGCGCCCTCATGGCCAAGCCAGGAGGGCGTGGCGTATACACCGCTGCGGGGTTGAGGATGGGCCTGGCCAGGGAGCAGTGGATATGTATAGATTTCGTCGCCCTAGAGTGACGCGTCGTGCCGACCAGTTCCTCATGCTGCGGGCGATCCAGCCCCAACCCCCGCAACACCAGCGAGGCAGCGCGGGTCATCGTCGCAATTCCGCCGGGAGGCCCGACATCGTGAAGAGGCCACGGCGTCGGGAAGCAGCACAAAACCAGAGCCCTCGAGCCCGCCCTCTCGCGGCACTCCCTGGGCCGGATCGGTCCACGAGAGCGCCGAAATATCGTCGATGCATCGACGATACGGCTCGATATGGAGCCCGATTTGCTCTACGCCGAGGTCGCCGATGCATTGCCGACGCCGCCGATGCATCGCCGATGCATCGACGATGTATCCGCGATACATCGGCAATGCGGTGCAATCCTCCGACCCCTACTCGGACCCCACCCGGGAGGCCTCTAGACATGGGGCCAACGTGCCCACACTCTGTTCTAATTCTCCGCGGTGTATAGACCCGATGGTGTGCTGAGGCCTGGTCATTCTTGACGGAGGGCGTGAAGTTCCGTGCGGGGCGGCTGTACGAGACCTTCTGGAACTCCCAGCCGGCTGCTCGGATGATGCGTCCGGCTCGATTCGTTGGCGGTATGTTGGGCGCCTGTGGGTGTTTCAGGAGGAGTGGGATGTGAATGTGCAAGAGGAGGTGGAGGAGGAGGAGACAGAGGAGACAGAGGAGACACAGGAGGAGGAGGAGGAGGAGGAGGAGACAGAGGAGACGGAAGAGACAGAGGAGACAGGAGACAGGAGAGAGGAAGAGGAGGAGGAGGAGGAGGAGTTGGAGTCAGAGGGGACAGAAGGAGGAGACAGGAGGAGGAGGAGGTGCAGCAGGAGGAGGAGGGGGAGGGGGAGCAGGAGGAGTCTCGCGGTCTGGGCTCCTCGGCCGCGGCCCCATGGGCACAGGGCGGTGGCGCGCGAGGGCCTAGCGCGGAGCGCAAGTCTGTGCACGGCTTCGCGTGTCCATCGGATGGCGTCGCGGCGGCTGCCCATGCCGCAACGGCATGGGTGCGGATGTTCCCGTGGCGTCCAGCGTCGAGAGCGCGCACGTCTCCAGCGATGTCCAATCCCCCCCCCGATCGGGCTTCTTCTCTGCCGTCTGCATGCGTGGGGGCCCCCCATGAGAGCCCCTTGGCCTTCTGATGTTCCAACCTACTTTAGCCTGAACCACCAGGAAGAATTTCGAGCACCGAGACAGAACCGAAACTCGAGGATTTGCACGTGTTGGGCTCTGGGAGACACTCGTTCGACACTGTTTCGACCCTTGTTCGACACTTTTCCGGGTGCTCGAAGTTATTTCTGGGATGTGGTCCTTAAGTACGATGGGAGCAACATGACCTTGGCCCTCGCCGTGACGGCCGGGTCCGACAGAACGTGGTCCGCCACCCCGCCAAGATGAGCCTGACGCGTTTGGCGCCCCCGGAAAGGTCGCCTTGTCCCCCCGACGTTGGGAAGGCGAGCGGGCAGCATGCTGCTAATTCGCTTTTTTCTCAGCTTCGGGGGACCGCGATTTCTCCGAGGGGGCCACCCGTGGTGACTCAATTCTGAGCTGTTTGCGATTCCCTGCCCGCGCACTCAGCGAACAGCGTCTCGCTGCTGGCGTGCGTGGTCTAGTCTATCTGCGCTGGCGTTGCTTGACATAGCCTGGTTGCGCGCGGTGGAATCCAGAGTGCTCGGGAGTAGTTCCGAGGCCTCTGGATGTATTCATAACCACCGCCTGGAAGATCGACTTTCGGGAACCGCGGCAGACGCTTGGTATGTATATGGATGCGCATATATATATATATACATTTATGCACACGTATGCGTGTATAGATATATGTATCGTCTGGTGCTTGGGGCGAACATCTATAATTTTATATGTAGACATGTATGCCTACATGTATATATATATATATATATCCACATCCACCGCCCGCCAGGGTCCAACGACGTCGGCTTCCCGCCTCGCAGTAGTGCCATTCGCCCCGATATGAATGTGTTCGTATATGGTTGATATGAAGCCTCTTTCCATGTTGTTGGGCATATCCCATTGTGCAACGTCGGCAGTCGATAGAAGTGCGGTTACTCAAGTGTCGTTATACCGTCCCTCACTTACCGATTTCTGCTAGACGTTCGCATTATCATTTGTATTCGTACGTGTGTTCTGTTTATCGCCATCGAAATGCACATTATCCTCTTACCCTCACGCCTCGTGCTCCCTCTTCCTCCGTCCCCCTTTCCCGAGCTTCCTCGTTTATGTCTTCCCTCTGCCCCCATATGTCCGCAGTCCGTGGGGCGGACTTGCAGACACACGAGTGGCTTATTCTCTCTGTGTTTGGTCTGTGTTGCTTTTGTTTCCGTTGCCGCTCGGTCTATTCGTATGGGGTTTTGTTTGGGTTGATTGATGTGTGTGGCCTTGCTCGATATTGCATGGGCAGCTTGAGATTAGATGTTCCTTCTGCGTGGTCTGACACGGTCCGTTGCGATCTCGCATCGATGAGAAGACCTTGAGGAAGAGTGATCGGGAGGAGCGGTCGAAAGAGCGGGCATTATCATCGATAAGTTGTCGGACCCTGCTCGGCCGTCATATGGGATCGTATGCTTTCTGGAAGGTTTTTCGGTGGATGCGGACTCCTCCCGGGGGCCTCTGGGGAACGTTTGTGCTGCTTCCTTGGCGCCTCGTAAAGCCCTCCTCCGCCGCCGTAGCGACCTGTTGCTCACTCTTGGGCGCTTTTCGTGGGCGTGGGGTCTGTTTAGGGGCCTCCTGGAACGGTTGGCGTCGCGCCAGTGTAAGTGTTGGATTGCTGAACAAGCTTCCCAATGCCGAAGAACAGAAAGCGCACGCACGCACGCAAGAAGCCGCGCCTAGACGGCGCATCGGCAAAACAAGTCAATCTGAGACGAAGGCCATGGGAAAAATACAAAAAAGTTCAATCCCGAATGCAAGCGCGCCGGGGCGCAGACACTGAGCGTAGGTCAGCGCTGGGCGGCGGAAGACATTACATAATTTCTCGGAGTTCCGCACGCATGTCCTGGCTCTGCACTGGGGCCCCCATGGCGGCGTCTCCAAGGGCCGCCCCCTGGCGCGCTCCGCGCGCCCGGAAGAGGCCCTCCAGCGCCGATGCATGCAGCGGGCGCGGAGTTCCGCACGCATGTCCTGGCTCTGCACTGGGGCCCCCTGGCGGCGTCTCCAAGGGCCGCCCCTGGCGCGCTCCGCGCGCCCGGAAGAGGCCCTCCAGCGCCGACTCATGCAGCGGGCGCGGAGTTCCGACTGTCCACAGTCCAATCCGCACAGTGAGGAGGAGCCACTCTCAGAGGACCCTCCATCTTCTCCTCCTGTTACTCCTACTCCTCCTCCTCCTCCTCCTCCTCCTCCTCCTCCTCCTCCTCCTGTCCACAGTCAATCCGCCATAGCAAGGATGACCCTTGCCTCCTTCCCCTGCTGCCCATCCTTGGCCGCTCTCGCTGACCGCGCCCCGCCCGCAGAGTGTCGGCATGGCCTTCCAAGGCGCTTGCCCCTTCTTGTGCGTGCTGATGTTACAGGTTGATGTTGTGTTTCTGCGTGTCTGCGATTTCTCTGTCCATGACGGACACGGGGAGGACGTCTCAGGCTGGACGTCTGGCCCGCCCGAGCCGAGTGGTGCGACAGGGAGGAGCTGTTCCTAAGGACGGGGGAGGGAGGGAGGAGGATGGCGGAGGAGAACGAAGCAGAGGTCGAGCTAAACTGTGTTTTGGCGATTTCGTGGACCGTTTTCGTTTTGATTCCGTTTCGCAGCAAAGCAGCCCTGGATCGAGGTGGCGGAAGAGAGCGGAGCAAGGAAGGAGGAGGGAGGGTCGGCGGCGAAATCCGAAACTTGCCCTCGACGATCAAACATTCAGGCACTGCCGTGCGTGGCGGGGTAGGTTTTCGCAACTCGTCGAGCGCGTGGTGAAATCCGAGCCCTGCCCCCGCCCCCCATGGATTCAAGGGAGTCGATGTTTTTGAGGGGTAGGGTTCGGATGTCGGGCTGGACGAAGCGGTAGAATACATGGGCGCCTCCCCGGCGCCAGGAGGCGCCAGGAAAACCAGCTACGTGGCTGATTCTCGACCCTGCCCTTTGCTATGCTACCCTCTCGTCCCCCCCGAGGATGTCGCCACTCCGAGGGGACATGAGCCGAGCGAGCGGGGGTGGCGGGGAGGCAGGAGAATCGGCGGGCGGGCCCAGCAGGTTTAAGCCGGGCACGTCCCACTACAGGAGGAATTCGGAAAAATAGTCAAAAAATAGTCTGGGAAAGATCTTTCTCTTGTTGTAAACTATTTTGAGCATGTTTTTGAGTGTTTTTTTATGTTTCGCACAAGATCCGCAAGTAGGAGGACATGCCTGACTGACCTGCAGGTCCAACGTGAAGTACACGGTGGTGTTCCTGTACCCGGGGGCGCTATTCTACGTCCGGTGGCGCGCGGAGACCCAGTACAAGTGCGCCCCCTCCCCTCGGGACGCCCTCGGACGGGGCTGCAGGTCATCCGCAGAGTGCAGCGGGGGGCCACGCCAAGAGACACCCTGCTTGCCTCCAGGGTGCCCTGGGTTTCGATGGTTTTGCTGTGAAGAGCGCGGCGTTCCCACGCCAAAAATAAATGGACGTCCTGGGGTCTCAGGGGTTGGTTTCTTGTGGAAGGTTTCTTGTGGACTGGCCTCCACACTAAGGATTTGCGACTTTCCATTGTTACCCATGCGCCCTTGCCCCTTCGTCCCATCCTTGGCCGCCCTCGCTGGCCAGCCACACTTGGCAACGCCAACATGGCCCTCCAAGGCCCTTGCCTCCTTACCACGCATCCTTACTACATTGGTTGGCTGTGTGAGGAGGACAAATCCGTTCGACAGCCTTCAGGAACGCTCTCAAAGCGGTCTGGAGCGTTCCGAGCCGCGGCGCCCGAGGCATCCTCCAGAGCCGCCAGATCTCAGAGAATCTCGATTTTTCCTCGCCCGATTTTGTCCTCGTCCTGGCTTCGTCTTACACCTGGGCCGCGGGGCGGCGACGTTGTGCCGTGCGTCGAACCGGCGAGCTCAAGACAGCGTCAATCCAAGAGACGGTTGCTTGCTTGGGCCAGGGGAGGCTCAAGAACAGGTTGCCCCCCCTGAAAGGAGCCCATGGACACAAATAAATATAGATTTCAAGATTCCCCAGATTCTTCCATCTGTTCTGGATGTTAATCTTCCCCTCCACTTCCGAAGTTTTCACATCTGTTCCTGGGGATCGACATTTACTTGTGTCTGTGCCCATTTTTCCCTCGTGGCTCTTGGCCAACGGACGACTGAACCCCTTGAGAGGTGCGGGTCTTGAGCCGAAGCGACCCGAGGCAGATTGATTTGGCAAGAACTTCAGAGGAGGAAAAGGAAATTACCCATGCCGCTACCCGCTACCCTCGCCTCGTTTCCCCCTTTCGGGGCCACCTGGCGGGCCCTCGTCGCCGCCGCTGGATTCGCCTCGAAATCCCAGTCAGGACGCACCCCGGAAGAGGTTCAGGGAGTAGCGGTATGGGTACCTTTGGGTTCCCCCAAGATTTATTTGGCCAGAGTTGGTGCGGCCTTCCTCCCTCCCTCTTCCCTCCTCCCTCCTTCCTTTCTTCGCTTTGACGAGAGCAGCGCTGACGGTGCCTATTGAATATATAGTTGTGATGGCGAGGTTGACAATCGACGTAAGTGAAATGGTGATAGTGAGCAGTCGTACTAGGAGATGACGCCTCATACTCAGCATCATCCACATCCTGCTGCTGCTCCTCCTCCCCAACCTCGGCGCATTGCGGAGTGTTACGTCTGTCCTTCCAATCCTAGACACATCCCGGTGCTCTTGCCCCTCTTACTCTCGCTCTTGCTTTGTTTCGACGGGTTAGGGCGCTGGCGGTCTTCGGGTGTTTTCGGATAGGAGTCCCCCCACTTCTTTGGGAGAAGGTGGGTCAAGGGGAAGGAGGGGTGTTTGCTGCTAGGGCGGGGTCGGATGAAAGGATATGATTGGTAGACCCCTTTTATCTTACCCGACAAGGTTTGGTTTTGTTGGAAGTGTCCCACTACTTTGGGGGGGTTGGGAGGGTGTCTGAGCCAAGAGACCGTAGAAGACGCTCTCTCTCCCTCGTTCTCTCTCTCTCTCTCTCTCGCTCCCCCTCTGTATGTGACATGTGCATATGTATACAGATATGTGTGTATAGTTGTACATATGTATACCCATGATACCAGAGAAAACCCCAATCAGAATTTTTTTGGGGGGGGGCTATGGGGTTTTAGGGCTTTAGGGCTATGGGACTATAGGGCTATAGGGCGATGTGGCCATAGGGATATAGGGCTAGAAGCCTTTAGGGCTATGGGGCTATAGGGATACAGGGCTATAGGGCTATAGGGCTAAGGGCTATAAGGCTATTCGGGCTATGGGGCTATATACGGCTATATACGGCTATAGGGCTTTAGGACCATAGGGCTATAGGGCTATAGGGCTATAGGGCTATAGGGCTATAGGGCTATAGGGCTATAGGGCTATGGGGCTATGGGGCTATGGGGCTATGGGGCTATTGGGCGATTGGGCTATAGGGCTATCGGAGGTGAGGGGGTGAGATCGAAGTGGAACGGCGAGCCCCCCACCGGGAAATCGGTTTCGGTTTCGTATTCGTGCGTGCCGTGCGTGCGAGGCGAAGCTGCGTGGGCGGGCGAGAAAAAGTCTCCTGTGGCTGAGGCGCGGCCGGACCAAATGTTTCTCTTCCGGGGCGCGGGGCCCCGCAGTGTCCCGCTGGTGTACCGCGGTGTCCTCCTGTGGCTGAGGCGCGGCCGGACCAAATGTTTCTCATCCGGGGCGCGGGGCCCCGCGGTGTCCCGCCGGTGTCCCGCGGTGTCCCGCGGTGTCCCGCCGGTGTCCCGCGGTGTCCCGCGAGGATGATGATGATGATGATGAGATGATGATGATGATGATGATGATGATGATGATGCTGATGCTGATGCTGATGCTGATGCTGATGATGATGATGATGATGGGATGATAATGATGATGATGACGGTGTCCCGATGAAGATGATAATGATGTTGATGATGGTCTCGATGATGATGATAGTGTCCCGATGATGAGGATGATGATGCTCATGATGATTATGCTGATGATGATGATGATGACGATGACGGTGTCGCGATGATGATGATGATGATGATGATGATGATGATGATGATGATTCCGATGATGTTGGTGATGATGATGTTGATGGAAATGGTGTCCCGGCGATCATGATGTTGATGATGATGATGTTGATGATGATTATGGTGTCCCGATGCTGATGATGATGGTGGTGATCATGATGATGGTGATGCTGATGGGGTCCCGATGATGATAATAATGATAATGACGATGTTGATGATGATGTTGCTCATGATGATGATGGTGCCCCAATGATGACGATGATGATATTGTTGATGATGATGATGATGTCGATGATGATGATGCGATGATCATGATGATGATGGTGGTGTCCCGAGGATGATGACGATGATGATGAGATGATAATGATGATGATTATGATGATGATGCTGATGCTGATGATGATGGGATGATGATGATGGTGTCCCGATGAAGATGATGATGATGTTGATGATGGTCTCGATGATGATGATAGTGTCCCGATGATGAGGATGATGATGCTCATGATGATTATGCTGATGATGATGATGATGATGACGATGACGGTGTCGCGATGATGATGATGATGATGATGATGATGATGATGATGATGATGATGATTCCGATGATGTTGGTGATGATGATGTTGATGGAAATGGTGTCCCGGCGATCATGATGTTGATGATGATGATGTTGATGATGATTATGGTGTCCCGATGTTGATGATGATGGTGGTGATCATGATGATGGTGATGCTGATGGGGTCCCGATGATGATAATAATGATAATGACGATGTTGATGATGATGTTGCTCATGATGATGATGGTGCCCCAATAATGACGATGATGACATTGTTGATGATGATGACGTCGATGATGATGATGCGATGATCATGATGATGATGGTGGTGTCCCGAGGATGATGTCGATGTTGATGATAATGTTGATGATGATCACGATGGTGATCATGATGGTGTCCCGAGTATGATGATGATTATGATGATGCTGCTGATGATGATGACGATGACTGTGTCCCGATGATGATGACGATGATGATGATGATGATGTTGATGATGAGATGATGATGGTGATGATTATGATGATGATGTTGTCCCGATGATGATGCTGTCGTTGATGATGATGTTTATGATGATGATGATGATGATGACGGTGCCCTCATGATGATGACGATGTCGGTGATGATGTTGATGTTGATGATGTTGATGATGATGATGATGATGATGATGATGATGATGATGATGATGCCGTTGATTGTGAGAGCGATTGCCATATCGATAGTGAGATCGATATTGAGACCGAATGTGAGATCGATTGTGCGATCGATTGTGAGATCGATTGTGAGATCAATTGTGAGATCGATCGAATGAGATAGATCGAGTGAGATCGATTGTGAGATCGATCGAGTGAGATCGGTCGAGCGAGACCGATAGTTCGATCGATTCTGAGATCGATAGTGAGACCGATCGAGTGAGACGTTGGTTCCCCCCCCCCCCGAACCTCCTTATCACCCGTAGGGTGGTCGTATAGGTACGGCTATAGGGCTATAGGGTTATAGTGCTATAGGGATATATGGCGATTGGGCTATTGGGCTATAGGGATATAGGGCTATTGGGCTAGGCACCCCCGGGCACTTCTGGGCACCCCGGGCACCCGGGCACCCCTGGGCACCCGGCACCACCCCTGGGCACCCCTGGGCACCCGGGCACCCGGCCCCGGCCACCGAAATCGGCCACACACCTGGGCACCCGGGCACCCCCGGGAACCCCCGGGCACCCGGGCACCCGGCCCCGGCCACCGAAACCGGCCGCCCACCTCACCTCAGCTTTATATCCGCTAGGACCCCTGCAGAGGCAAGCTCTGATCGGGGAATTTGTTTATCCGTAAGGGCTTCGCCCCATGCCGCCGGCCCCCTGTCTCGGATAATGGGAGATGCAAAAGCTAAATCATGAGGTCTGGGCGCCGCCGTGGAGCAGTGTCGGGAACTGTTTGTTTTTCGACCCTGACCCTACGGATCTGCGTGAGGGGTGCCACCGAATTTCAGAAATGTGGCAAATCCCTTGTGTGTTTTGGACCCTGACCCTACGGATCTGCTTGAGGGATGCCGCCGAATTTCAGAAGTGTGGCAAATCCCATATGTTTTTGGACCCTGACCCCGCCGATCTGCGTGAGGGGTGCCGCCGAGTTTTAGAAATGTAGCAAATCCCTAGTGTTTTGGACCCTGACCCTGCCGATCTGCGTGAGAGGTGCCGCCGAGTTTTAGAAATGTAGCAAATCCATGTATTTTTGGACCCTGACCCCGCCGATC